GCAATAGGATTATATCTTATTTTACTTCCTCTCCACCATGCTATGTGTACATATTTTTTTATGAACATTTGAACAAGAATCCATTTTTAATGGAGAATGCAGACAAACGCCAACTATCATGTATGAACACAATCACGGTTTATATAGTTTTTGCTTGTAAATGGTCTTCGAAGTTGGGTTAGTTCTGATTTCAATAGAATCAATTCGAACCTTTCAAGACACAAGTTTATAAAGATGCTTATGGTCACATAAATGTTCATACGTGAAAAGGTAAGAGTACTCAAATTGGAAACACAGAAACTGTACCCAATAGAAGGTATTTAAGACACACTTAAAATACTTTCATTCATTCAAAACGTAGCACAACTACACACAACTTCAGTTGTAACAAGAACAGCAATCTTTCAATGATGTGATACACTCTCACCGTAGTCTACCCAAGAACCCACGACATCTTCTATAACAAGATTCGTGTTCTACACCGTTCCTAGTCTACCCAGATGAAGATCAATTATACTCAACACAAAATCACTCTACTCATACTTGAGTTCTTCAAGAAGTCCACTCTCACAAAGAACTGCAATCGGAAACTCCCGAAAAAGTCAGTTAAATTGGTATCCCAAATACCAATATAATACATGGAGTCTTGCTTCAGACCGGTAGGTCATTCACTGTACTGTGACAGAGAACACTGTTTCACATGTCTCTTCACTTGAGCAACGCGCCATCCTTGTGCTTTTTGCCTTTTGTATAAGGTCACTTCTTTGTTTCTTCCACCAAACTTCTGCACCATCTCTCCCACTTGCGTTCATACGGCTCAAGACACTCATTGACATTCACACGTCTGATGTTAACTTCTCACATGTGACGCTGACTTCAGCTTTGTTTGACTCCTGTGTAGCATAGAACTCCTCACATTTTCTTTGATCCTTAGTTGCCTTTTTTTATGCAACTACAATACGCATGAATAATTCCTACTTCGCCCCCCTTCGTCACATGATTTTAAGAAGACAAATTTAAACACAATTTTTGCCTTCCAGTTCTATGATCTTTTGCATACATATTTCTGCTGAAAAAATTTCTGTAACTTTTGGTGAATATTACACAAAACTTCAAACACAAAACTTCAACCACAATTTTACTCCTGGATCTTCCACCACAAATTTACACCACAATTTTTAGAATTTTAATCGACAAAAAATCTGCGCGTATGCGCAGGTATTGGCCTAGTGGAATTTGAAATAGGATTAGTGATGCTTTCAAATGTTACTTCCAATCATATCCGTAATTATATTTTAGACCCTTCGATCACACTGATTATATAAAGTGAACGTCCGCCATTGTTATAGGTGTGGAAAAAATAAGCATTTTCTTCATCCTCGAAATTTGTCAGACCTCACCAAGAAACAATGTACCATGATTTTATCCCCCAAAACAAAACAAAATAGTGTACCAAGACGTAGATACGTCTACATGATTCTCAATGTCAAATTTTTTTTTTATATAAATTCTTTATTTGTACCCAATCAAAAACATAGATCCACTCTTATACAATTTTTCTTTTCANTTATATTAACAAAGTACTTGTTCTTTCTATGCTCTAAAATTGAACTTACCATGAGATGTCAAAATAGTACTTGTTCTTTTTATTCTCTATATTAGACCCTTCGAAGAGCGTCGAATCTCGTACTACCATCGTAGTTTCCAGACCTCAACGCATTTGTTGCTTGTATTAGAGACTTGGTCATCTAATGTTTCGAGTTATAGATATAACATTCTTTACACACNAATCATATTAAATTATATATAAATATTGATTACACAAAAGTTATTTCATAGAANGAAGGTAAAATAATTGTCAACGGCTTATATCAATTAGTTAAACCGGTTCATAACTTAACAAAAAAAACAACGTTTACATACGAATATCGTTCTAACAAATCCGTTTTTGAGTTATTAAGACGATGGATGTAGGTTACAGAAAAGGCCAATAATGTGGACTTTCATCGCACAAATTAGTCTGGCCAATTCATTGCATTTTACATTGCAAATATTATTTTATTTTTTGTAAAAACCCAAAACATATAACAGCTTAAATATAGGAATGGAGGCATTAGTTATTAGGCCTGGACGCGGATCGGATATCCAAAAAAAAATACAGTATTTGTGATTCGGTTTGTTTTTTACGGATATCTAATTTTCCGATTTGCTTTGTTTCGAAAATTTTCAGATATCCGGGATAACGGATATCCAGATTTTTCTGGATATTTGCGGATATCAGGATCTTCGTGGATATCTGTTTTAAACAAAAAAAATTAAACACTGTTGTTTCTCAAAAAGTTTTAATATAAGATTTAGACTAATTAATCGATAAATATATGAAATGGGTCTAATTTTATTCGATAAATTGTTTAAAAGATGAAAAGTAAAAGCTTAAAATGGTGAAAAATAAAATATATATTTTTAATTTAAAAAATATATTTCAAATAAAATTAGTATTTATCTATTTTTACCATGTTATGTAAATATACGTTATAAATCTACCATATTATATGTATATATAAGTAATATACAGATAGGATCGGATATTCGAATTTTTAAAATTAGTATTTATGATTTGCTTCGGTTTAGACGGATACTAAATTTTACTATTTGCTTCGCTTTGATTCCAAACAGATATCCAGATTTT